ATGCAATGCCTTTTGGGGCCCAAATTATTTGGCAATAATGTGATTGGATACCTTTAAATGAGCATCCAAATAAACATTTTTTTTTAAACTTTACATTCATGCCTTTCTCACCATGAGTTTTATGTATTTCCCCACCTCTTAAAAGGAAAAAGAAAGAAAGAAAAAATCATAATGTAATAATAAAAATACTAAAGAGCTTATTCGCGGATCTTTGTATCTCTTTTTCTCTTTGATAGAAGGAAAGGGTTTCGGTACCTGGTACATAATAAGGGTTCAACAAATGCTAGTTTTGTAAGGTTATGGATCCAAAGGGCATAAATATACATTTGATCCAGAATTAAAATGAATCGCTTCCTATGAATGTTGGTAGGAGAGATTTAAATAAAGATACGTGTTAATGTCTGTGATAGCTTTTTATAATGATAGACATCTTTGTTTTTGAATCACCTTCCTCACGTCTTAGAGAGTTTCCACTTAAAGTACCACTCCACAGTTGTGTGGTCGGCAACATCAGGGAATATTATTTCCCCTTCACAGACAGAGAAACTAAGGCCGAGAGCAGACTGCTCACCATCTCTTGTAGCTGCCTGAAAAGACCCATGGCTCTCTGGTTGGCTCCACTCTTACATTTTATTTCCAATAACAATTGTGCCTCCATTCCTAGTTCTCAATCAATTACACACTGATTTCTTAAATGGGAAATGCCCAGAGAGAAACAATGTAGGGGAGAAAAAGTACCCTGAATCTCACTCTAAAGAAAATCTAATTTACACAGAGGGATTGGGAAATAAACCAAAGACTCCATCTTGAGTGAAAGCTCCTATGTGCAGGGCATCATGCTTTTCAAATGAGAGCTTTCAATAGAAGAGCCACATTGGAAAAATACAACTCCATTGAGATTTCCTCAATGGAGAGCAGTGGTCCTAATTCGAAAGGTGAATTGGCATCCTTAAGGAAAGATAGTCTCCACCCTAAATTTAGAACATGCTGCAGAGACTTGATTTCAACAGGCCATCTCTTCCCATCTTCCCTTTGCAGCGAATCTTCAGAGGTGTTATGTTTCTTCCAACACCCAAATTCTTCCCCAAATTTGGCTTCACCAAATCATGTCTATTCCATTTTTTTCATGCTTGAAGTCCATTAACCCTCAGACATTTTCCTATTAATTGGGTCAAAATGCAGTCTATTCTCAACAGGTACACTCCATACTTTGCCCTAAATTAACTGACCTTTGGTTCTCACTAAATTACTTCTTGTAGATGGTGATATTTTCTTTCTCTTTATAGACTGTAACTTCTTAAGGGCAGAAATCGGAGATGGCTCTTTTCTTCATTAGCTTTCTTATTTCTCTGTTCTAAAATGTCTAATTCATTTAGATATACTGTTGATATTGTCTCCCCACCTCCATATGCTCTCATTGTGATTATTTTCTCATCTAAACACAACTTTGCCTGGTAATCATCAAAGCCACAATTCAATAGACAAGTCCCACATAGTCAATAAGACAACTGTAATAAAAATAGCACTAATAGTTTACACTTTCTAAATATTGTGTGTTTTGTTAGCACGTGTTAATTGTATACGTTAACAGAGTTTAGAACCTTCATATACTTTCTCTTTTAAAAATTATATTTGTAGATAGAGTCTCCTGTTTTAGGAGATTCCAGGTGCTTTTTCTGACTACCTTCCCTATATCCAAAAAAGGAAACCATGAAAAAAGTATCTTCAGTTGCTTAATATCTTTCAGCGACTTAGACATTAATCTAACCCACACTATTTTGTTCATAAAACTTACTGGCTATTTTTTTTTAAGTTCAAATTTCCATTTGCCCAGGTGGCAAGATTATATTTCAGGATTAAAAGACAGGGAGGAGGTGTGGGGAAGAAAATGATTTCTGCATCATTAAGGGTACTAATGCAGCAACCTGGTTCTTTTCAGAGGAATTTCACCAATTTTCTGCTTGCTGGCTAATCATCTTACTGGGAATTAAGAAAACACAGAAATGGTTTAAATTGTTCCATCCACCAACTGTTTCTAAAAGCTCTTAATTTAATCCTGGGAGGTACCTTTTCACACCAAGTAATCCTGTTGAGAAACTCTTTGTGTATTTTGTGAGCTGCTCTCATTTTTTTTTTTTCTTTTTTAGAAACCAGTGATGAAGACTCTAAACGTTTGGGAGCAGCGCTATCTAGCGGTGGGAGTGGGTAGGCCAGGAGCCTCAGCTCAGCCAGGAAGCAGGAGTTTCACTCTTACTTGGAGATACACCATGTTAGCCAGTGAGAAGCGAATGGTGAATGGAAAGAGCCTCCCTTGTCTGGTTTGCTCTCTTTTGAGGTTTCTCTCCATTGCAGATAATCTCTAAAGGAGGAGGCTGAGAACTGCTCACAAAAAAGGCCAGTAAGAGTGAAAGAAGACAAAACCAGGCCTCATATTGTCAACCCTGAAGTCAGGGGAGAGTGCTGGTGCCAGGTCTGGAGTGGGTGAAAGACCCTCTCCCAACAATCAACACTTATTTAGTGGCTTATCTGCTCTTAGCCTCATGCTGCAAGCCGGGAAAGACAGTGAAGAATAAAGGATCATTTTTACTCTGGAAGTACTTAGGAGGTAGTGATGTAAGGTAGGAAAGATTGAAGTGGATTTACTGTAAGTGCATATTAAGAGGTCAATTAGCAAGAAGTTGGGAGCCAGGGAAGAAAAGCACACCCCAGGTCAGGTATTTCACTTAAATAACTGTGGCTTGCCTCAGCTTCCTTATCTAAAGTACAGAACTCTGAGTCTTTTCTTCTTAGGTCATGGAGATGAGAGGCATAATCACTCCCATGTGTTGAGCACAGTTATTGTCCAGCAAAGTGGGACCACTGTTGAGACTATAGAGATATTTTGCACCAACATGGGCAGTTGTAGCTATGGGATCGTTGGCATGGGTCTGACCTGTACACAAAAGCATGGTTGGGGGTTACACAAGGAAAGGAAAATGAAACTATGTTTAGTTTCATTTAGATGAGAGGAACAACCTCATGAGAGATGTACTACTGGGGATACTGCATGTCCACCTACTGACTTAAAGGTTCCTACAAAAACATTCCCTGAGCAGAATTGTAAAGAGAGCCCAGGTGTGGCCTCTATCTCCCTTCCTGAAGGTGCTTGGCTGTCCTCAAGTGGGACCTTGTACCCATGCCCAACAATCAGACAGCAATTCTCCACGACTGCCCTGATGTTCAATCTCAGGTTCAGTTTCCTTAAGCCCTTTTCATTTAATAGAAATGTGGAATTAACTTTTGCTAAGGCATCTGTGATTGATATTTGTGTGTGTGTCTCTCTCTATCTGTGTATGCACAATAAAGTCGGTCCTTTGTAATCTCCCTCAAATAAAGAACAGCTACACACACACACACACACACACACACACACACACACATATATTTTCTTAATAAAAAAAAAATCGCCCTAAATCAAAAGTATGACTATAGTGGCAGCAATTCTGAGTATTCAGAGAACACTGTTCAAGACAAAGTGGCCTTCAAAAACCTATTTAACACCTGGCTACTCTCTATCTAGAGACTACTCAGTTACATCTATAGTAATCAAATTGAGGATCAGTTATTAATATGTGCATATAGAACTGTTTTCCATGAAATATGCCTTATAATATTTTTTTTCAGAAAGGCCTGTCTAATATGAGACTTGATTTTTGGTGTGAGTCGTGTCTCTAGGTAACTAACTGTCCCTTGCCTTAGTGTCCGTGTCTTGTCCTGTCTTGTCAGACTGGCAAGGCCCTCTGTTGGACATCTTCATTTGCCCCCTCACACCCCCTCTTCCATGATCTATGACAAATATCCTCCTTGTTGTCTGTCTTCCAGTTGGATTTGGCTGATAGGGAACAGACTGTGGAGGTGGAGTAGGGTAACAAGGCCAGGGTGTCTACCTTCCCTCTGCCCTTTCCCAGCAGAGTCATTGTACCTGGGTTTCTTCCTCGCCTGGGGGTGCAGATTTGTCCCTCTCTGTCCATGAGTTCTGTTTACTGCTCCCTGCCTCACACTTGCAGACGTCCTCTCCCTGTCCTGCATGGTCCCCTGTGCTTTCCTTCACCCTACCATAGTCCCTTTGTCACATTCTCCTCCCTTAGGGCTTTTTTCTTGCTGAGGATCCATTTCTTTTTTTTAGGAATCAAATGGACAGGCAGAGACAGCAGCTCAGCAAGCCATGGCAACCAACCTGTGAGAGTCACAAGGTATCTTTGATGCACCAGGGAGGCAGGCATTAGGTTGGTGTGCAACTGACTGATAATGGGCAGCCACAGGAGAGAGGGAAGAGAACAGCAAGTGCACAGAGAGGCAGGGGGAAGCAAAGAGGTAGAGACAGGGTTCCTCATACTGCCTCAATTCTCGGGAAGCCTTGCCTCCAGGAAACACAGCCAGAAATTATTCCTGGACAGTCTGGATTACAGAAGATCACTGCATCCATACAAAACCTCCCTGAGTGGGTCTCTATTTCATGACAAAAAAAGAACCCTCTGGCACTGTTCAATTTTAGAGTTTAGTTACTCATTTGACCCATGAATTGAGTTCCAGCTGTGTGCCTGGCACTGAAAATAAGACTCAGTTTCTTCCTTCAGGAGGCTCATTTCTCACAGCTTGCATGGACAAAAAAACAGTATCAGATAAGGAAAACATCCTCGATAAGATGAGAGTGAAATCAAAGAGATTCTTGGAGTCAGGGATGGTCCTTTACAACTGACACTAGTATTGCTGTATGTATACACATGATGTATAACCAATGTGATCCTGCAATCTGTACATGTGGAAAAATGAGAATTCATGCCCTATTTGAATCAAATGTATGATATGTCAAGATTATTGTATTGTCTTGAGCAACTAATAAAAAAAGTATACACGGACATTTCACATCAGGGAAAGCTGGAAGTCCCCACCCTATACAAGTGATCAGTCAGTGTTAACATCTCCAGGACATGGTCATCACCTGCCTTTTTTTTTTCTTTTGGTGGTACTAGGGATTGAACCCAGGGCCTCCTGCTTACCGGGCAAGTACTCTACCACTGAGCTATATCTCCAGCCCATCACGTGCCTTCTGACCTGACATCAAGGACTCACCTTCTTTTCTGCAGTAGCCAGGCCACAAATGTAAAACCTAAGTCTAGGCATGAAGAAATGTTAGAAACAGAGATATTCTATACAATAAATTTCCTGTACTCCTCAAATGTCAACATAGTGAAAGTCAAGGAAAAAAATGGAATAATGTTCAGAGTTAACTGAAAACAAAGAAACATGACAACAAAATGCTAAGTCTAATTCTGCATTGGATATAGCATGAGAGAAAAATTTTTTCTATTTGCTCAAAGGATATTTACAGTTGGGGAAAATCAGACCTAGAACAATTACGTAAAGACAGGGAATCCTCCATATCTCTGTAGTCCACATTCACAGATTCAACAAACCACATCTGAAAAAAAGTTTGCATCTGTACTAAACAGACATTTTTTTTTCTTGTCAGCATTCCCTAAACAATATAGTATAATAACTACTTACATAGCATTTACATTGTAGTAAGTATTACAATAATCCAGAAATTATGTAATGTATACAAGAGAATGTGAGTAGGGTGTATGCAAAGACTACAGTATTTTACATGAAGGTCTTAAATCTCTGCAGATTTTGGTATCTGAAGGGGTCCTGGACCCAATCTCCAATGATACCTGGCAACACAGTATTTCTGTGAAGGCATGAGGCTAAAGGACAGATAACCTGCTTCTCTGGTTTCTGAACTTTCCAGTCTATCACACTGTTTCCCAATAACTCTAAGTTTCGTGGGTCTTTTTTTCCTAGTTCTGCTATTATTTCTACATTATCATCAGCTCACCCAAAGTCGAGGTTTATCTGTAGCAATAAGACTTCCTCAGCAGTGATTCTATCTCTGCTCTTAAAGCTTCTCATTCATGCCCATGGAAAAGTCTGTGCAACTGAACAAACCCATTAAATGAGAACACATCACAGAGCTAAACCCAGCAAGTTTCCCATTTCTGTTCAAATCCATTGTTTGATGATGTTTCAAAAATAAAAACCTAGGCAATCAGTGGTTGCATCATGGCAGTATCAGTTCTGACTGAGAGGTCTACATTTCTTAATTTAAAAGTATTTTAAAGGACACAGGATATTTTTTGAAAACTCCGGGAAATGGAAAAGAAGTTCTAGGTAACAGACGTCTCTTTAGGAACTGCATATAAAAGGCTGATAAAATGGTTTAGGTTTGGCACCCAGTAAAGACAAAGGAATAAAAAGAAAGCCTTTGCTTGCATTGGGTCTCATATTGGGCTGAGACAGCTTGATTGACACACTAGTGAGCTATACATAAAGGTGAATATTGTATAATAGAAGCTTAAGTGAACAGGCATCACCAAGGAGAAGGAGGAAAGCAACTTTTTGTACTGTCAGACTGACTTTCAGAGCTTTGGGGTTTCCTCCAAGGTGACAAGGTATCTTTGATTTTTGATGTTGGTTCTTGGTTTTAAGTGAGTGCTCAGCACTTTTCTTAAATATGAGTGTTTCTTTCCCCATCCAGTATTCACCGTTTCTAATACTGGCATGTCCTCAACTACAGGGCATTTCATTTCATTCTCTACTTTTTTTCCCCAACTAATTATTTTCCATTTAATCAAAGTGTTTTTCCACTTGATAAAACATTATATATATATATATAAAACAAAACATGGTTCTGGTGAATTTTTTCATCTTTGACCTGGAGGATGAGAATAAATAACAGGTCTACCGAACACAGGGAAATACTAAATACAGTGGAATGACTTTAAGTACTGAGCACAAAGTTGTTCTGAAAAAATAAACAGTGGTTGATAAAAAAAATCACTTTAAATAAAACATGAAAGGAAAAAACTCAAATCACACAACAAAGATTATTGTCAAAATGAAACCAAGAATACATATTGAGGAATAATATTACCAAATACTGTCTACTACAGCACAATTCTGAGAAAAAAAAATATTAGCATATAAATACTAGTTAACAAAAATCTTTTAGGGTATGCACTCCTATTATATCTATTTTCAAGATAAGGAAACTGGGATACAGAACGGTAGCTTTCCCATGTTCCCAGAGAGAGCAAGTATCAGAGCTGGGATTTAAACTCATGCATTCTGGCTCCAGAGATCATGTTTCTAATTACATTTAATCAGCTAGCAAATATTTCACAAAAAAAACACGTATTTTTAGTACCTCAGAGACTATATTAGTCAATTTTTGTTGTAGTAACAGACAATCCTATTTACCAGTGGTTACTAAAATGTTTTTTCTTGCTTACTTGTACAAGGGCTATGAGTTCACCTGACTTTGATCACATCTTCCAGATTCATCTTGACTCACCTCAGCTCAGTAATTTGTGTCTGCTGGTAGGATCACAAGGAGAGACTAGCTCTTCTCTGAGACTTGCAGTGGACAGGAATTTGAGGGTCGTAGGGATAAGCTGAGCAGAATACACCATTTACCACCTCTGTTTGAACATGCCAATGTCTGCTCATATCCAGTTGATGCATAGGTTAGACACTAAGTGAAAGGTTAGGAACAAAAATCTGATAGCTCAAGATCTCTTTACCCTGCCCAGCTGATTCCTCACAATGAAACTAAGAAAACAATGCTAGCTTTAAAATAATCAGAAAATCATCTTTTCTTTGCAGGGTACCAGTAAACCTTGTACACATAGAAACTGTGTTCTTACTTTGCAAGATTCTATGATAACTGATACTTCAACAGACAGTGATATGTGAAGGAAGGATTCCTTTACCTAATAGTAATACTGCTTAATAATAAATGCTCCATTGTGAAAATGCCCAAGATCATTTAAAATGAATTTTAAACCATGCCTGCAGGCTCAATCACCTGGTCTTTGCTCACTCTCAGCCTTCCTCCCCATTCCTACCCTTTCTCACTTCACTCTAGCCCAGTGGCTTTGTGCCAAGCTCATTGCTACCTAGGACCTTTGCACCTGCTATTTTCTCTACCAAGTGATTTCCCTCAGATGTTCATGTGGCTGGTTCCTTTTAAGTATTGAAGCATCAACTACAAGTTGACCTCTTTAGGGAGACATTCCCTAACCAGTTGACCTAGATTAGTCCACCACTACTCCTTTACACTTGGGCATATTATCTGATTTGTTTTCTACACAGGTCTTAACCATTCTTTGATACCCTTTTATCAAGATATGTGTTTACATGTTAATGTGGTGTCTCTTCCACCAGAATGGGTTCCAAGGAGCAAGGGACCTGTGTGGCTTATCATTCTATACTTATTGTCTGGTGCATTGCCTACATATTTTGAATGTGCAATAAGTGTTTTTGAATAAATTAATGGATGTGTATAGGGTCCACAATATCTATATGGTTTAGATTTTATACCTAGTGCACTAGGTAACATATAGTTTGATAATTAGAAATAACCATGTATGGGTTTCCTAATTTGTTCTTGTGCTTTCTTAACCCATTTGTCTCATTTTGGAGGCAGGGATCACCATTCCAATCAATAGTTCTCAACCTTCGCTACATTTTTTAATTAACTGCAGAGAGAAAGTGAGGGGTAAATTTTTATAAAACACTCTATCCCAACCCCCAGGAATTTTGATTTAATAGGTCTAGGCTGAGACTTGGACATGAGAGCTTTAATGACTCCCCAGTGATTCTAATATCCAGCCAATATTAAAAACCACTGGTCTCATTGGTACCCAAAGTATAGTTGAGATTCAGAATTGCTTGTTTGCTCATTAAGTGTGGCCAATTTGAGCCTTTGGCTCCATTTGACGGCGCTTGACACATAATAAATAATCTCTAAGTGTTAACTGGCTTCCTAGTAAATATTTGATGAATTAATAAATGAAGGAATAATTGAGGGATTTAACTGAAACATATAGGAGATTAGAAAATGTGGAGGTCAGTTTGGACTGGTGTAGTTAGATTAAGTTCCTTAACAGGGAGGAGGTATGAACTGGGCCTGAGGTCCATGTCTCTTTGGTGTAAAATTTTCCTAAGTTCTGGGACATCCAGATTGGAATGGACCATGGTAACCATCCAGTACAGATTTTCATAATATTTTTCTGTTCAAAGACCTTTAGAATTTGATGAAAGTTTTGGACTCTCTTCCTAAAAGAAAAAAAAAATCCATAACTGTCCAATTTGAACAGGTTCAGAAAACCCTGAATGATGGTTTCCCAAGCTAAAATCCAAAGGTCCAGTTCAACCCACCCACAGATAAAAAAAATGACACTATGGCCCAGAGAGAGTAAGTGACTATTCAAATCAGAAGTGAAGTCAGAAACAGCAATAGGATTAGAACTGATTTCCCTTGATGCTGAATATAGTTGACAATCCTACTTTGTATATTTACTGAGGATAAAGTTAAAAGGATAAATTTGTAGCTAATTATTTTGTGTTTCCCATTCCATTCCCTTGATTTCTGAAACTTCATTTATCCTAAAATTCTACTTCTAACTCCATAGTTGTGCCACTTCATTAAGAAGCAGAAAGTTGAAATTCTAGAAGCACCCCATCTTCTAAATCTACCAAATTCTCATTCCAAGCTCTGATAGCAGAGTAGTGGAAAATGGCCTCAAAGTAATCAGAGTCATCCTGAAATGAGGGCCAGCCTGTGGCTATTCCCGAGTAGCCATCTCAATCATTCCATACCAGTGAACACACACAGATGAGGGGCAAAAGTTGAATCCCGTCATTCCAGATGTCAGGATAAGCAACACCAAAAATAGCCAGGGCAATTAGCTGGGTAGCAGGTGTTCAGAACAATACCTGAGCACAGAAAACAGGAATAAATGAGGTCAAAGAATTTGTGGATGTTAGGAGAATAAACTGGTGCCTTCTTCCAAAGCCTCATAGCAGAACATGACTGTTTAAGGATGGTTGTTTAAGCTTGAGGAAGAATTATTGACCCATCTCAATGAGAGTCAGGTTCATTTCTGTCTTGAAAAAGATACCGCAGAATAGGTTAACTGTGTACTATTTCCCAAATGGTCTGAATTCAGTGAAACAGAACACATCATAT